ATCAATAAAAATAAGTTAGTTTCCATCAGATACAACTAAGAGTAATTTTTCATCCATAAGTAGTAAACACTAGTTTGGTATTGTAAAGGCAAAATTAATTATTTATAAATCATTTGTCTATTTGTTAATTAGGATAATTTCGTTTGGAGAAGCCATTAAAATAACCAAATATTAGTTTCCAAAACAAACATTTTAAGATACTTGATTTTACTTTTATGTGAATGATAAACTTTTTATATTTATGTTTTAAGGATTCTCTATTATTGCAATCTATTTGTAAAAAATTTATAAAAATAAAATTTTTCTAACTTTGAACAAATACTAATATTCAAGAAAATTTACTTATAGCATACCAACTACATTAAATAGGATCAATGAGTTTGAAAAAGTATCAAAGTATGTTTAATTAGAATAATAATTTTGTAAATTTAAAGTATTTATTTAAATTTAGTGATTACTATCCTATCCTTTAATGAGCATTTGTATCAAATTTTAATATACAATAATTATTCCATATTGACTTTAAAAAACTTATAGAGTATAATTGGTAATTGGCGAATCGTAGAGTAGATTAAATTATTTAGAATTAAAAACAAATAATTTTTAGCTTAAATCAATAACTAAAATAATTTCTAAATCGTTATCAAAATATACTTAGCTTACTTTGAAATCATTATCAAAATTTAGAGTTTATAAAAAAGTTCCTTCAAGATAGGTTGTTATTACTAAATAATTTTAAGGAGACCAAGATGGCCAAATATATATTTAATCACCATACTATTTTATAAAATTAATTTATTTTTAGGATTTTGAATTAAAAACCAAACCTTGTTGAATTATAATCTACTTTAAGTTGAGAGATTATAGTACTAAGTCAGATATTCACCCTTCGGGTAGCTAAAATATCCTAATTTCCCCTAATTTTCAATCATATAAATTCTAAGTAATTCATCATCAAAGTAAAGACCTTCTACTTATTCGTTTGGTATATCATTTGTATAGAAGCAGCTTGTATGCCTTTTTATTTGCCCATTTGTTATATCTATAAATACCATTCCACTAGATGTTAACGTTTTTAATATGGAACCTTCAAATATAGCATTAGGAGTAACTCCAAAAA